ACCCTGCTTCAGGCCGAGGACTGTCTTGACCAATCTGCTGGTCAGTTGGGAAGCCGTAACTGGATGTTCCCGCCTCTTTGGCTGAGACCAGAGGAGTGAACCAGTGGCTTGGCTGGCAGGGCGGCAGGGCATCCATGCTGGGCTGGCTCTTGATCTGCAGGGCTTCTGACGGAGGGGCGCATGTGTGTTTGGGTTTGCTGTGCCGGGCTAGGAAGCAGTGGAATTTGTCTGAGTTGAGCTCGCACATTGAAGTTATTGAGCAACTTACACGCAAGGCCGTGACCTGGACTCCCAGCTGAGAGGCCCACGTGGCGGAGCTTTAGCAGGAGGAGCTGAGGACAGGCTCACATCTGCTCATCTGCTTACGTAACCCTGCCTCCCAGCTCTCAGAGCCAAGAAAACACACAAGCCGACCCAGCGGGGCCAAGGGTTTGTGGTAGCACCGCCGTGCGCCACCCAGCAAGGGGGCCTTGGCTCAGCCTTCTGCCTCCTCCCCGAGGCCCCCACGCTGTCTCTGAGACTGGCTGGCAAGTCCACGAGGTTCCAGGCAGAGCTGGTCACTGCCCTCCTGGAGTCTGAGCGCTTAGACTTTGTCATTAAGTCAGAGCCAGGTGTGCTGCCCAGGACGGCCCCTGCCGCGTGGGCAGAGATATGCAGGGCACTTGGGGAGGCTTCCTCCCTGACGCCAGACCCAGGAAGGCATCCGGCTCCAGGTCGGGAGCCTCCATGGCTGCCGAGCCCTGACCCATCTCAGGGTTGTGAGCTGGAGGGTTCTCAGAGCACTGGCAGCTTCGAGGGGGGAAGGTGGGGGAAAGAATTGTCAGATTGGGCAGAAAGGGCCAGGGTTCACTCTTCCCATCCATGTAGGAGACACGGTGGGGCTATGAGAGGGGCAGAGGGAGGAGCAGCGAGTGGGAAGAGGCTGTTTGGTGAACAAGCTCTGCGTTGCTGCTGGGACAGCCAGTCCCTTAGACAGCCTTGAGCCAGTGTAGTTTTCACATGGGTCCTGCCCTTTTCAGCAGGGAGGGGCTTGGGGTCAGGAACCGTTGGTGTCCATCCCATCGTCACCTCGCACCTCCCGAACCCGCTTCACAGTGGATGTCCAGAAAGTATTGATTGAAACGAATGGAAAGTAGCCTTGACACACCACAGGAAATGTTTACATTAAACAAACACTTCAGAAAAGACTCTGGCTTGATGCTTGAGTAGGTTCCCATGGATGGGTGGTCACATGCTATTAATACCTCGTGTGTGTGTGCGCGCGTGTGTGCACACTCTGGGATTAAAGGAAGGGGAGCGAGGCTGTCAGCTCCCATAATTGGGTGGATAGTGTTTTCAGTTGCTGAAGGAACTCTGGAGCAGAAGCTGGTTGGCCCGTGGTGGTGGTGGTGGTGGTTGGTGGAAGTGATGAGGTTAATGAACACTTACTCATTTGAGTTCCAACCCCTGGAATTTGCAACTGGAAACCAGTATCCTGAGAATGGATGGTCGTCACCCAAAGATCATCCAGCAAGTCACTGACAGAGCTGAGCTAGGGCCCAGGCAGCCTTTTCCTGACCAGACCAGGAAACTCTGCCTCACTGCTGTCTTCCTAGAGCCACCAAAGGGACGAGATTAAGATGCTTTAAGCCTGCAGGTGTCTGCTCCAGGGAGGCCACACAGCCCAAGTGTAAAATACCTCTTTCCTGGGTTGGTTTCAGAAGTTGTGAGAAAGTTAGTAGAGTGACAGTCTAGATGCCCTTTGGGTTCCCGAAAATGAAGATATGTTTAGCATATCTTCATATGAAACATGAAGGTTCACAGCCTTCATATTTAGCAGGCCATGGATGGAGTGCAGATGTCATGGGGCCTTCTGAAGTGAGAAGAACCTGAGCACCGATCTTTTCTTCGTGTTTTTCACAAGTGCCCTGTGCAGCAGGACCTCCCAGAAGGCTGTGCCCACGGCTGGGGAGTCGAGCAACCCAGGCCTGCAGGACCTCGTGGGAAAGGGCTACTACCTCCCCGAAGGCCCCAAGCTTGTGAAGATGCACAGGCTGGCCCCGTCTGCTCCCCACCACCCAACTTGTCTAGAAAGAACTGCTTGGGCTGCTTGTTATTTATGTGGGTCCTTCCTGAGATCTGACAAGTCAGACTCCCTAGGGCAGAGATCTGGGATTCCATATTTTTACTGATTGCCTCACTTGATTTTGATGATCAGTGTGGAGAAAATGGTCACGCCGACCCCTTACTTAGCTCTAGGGCTTAGGACCTACTCACTGGAGGGCACCATGGGAGTTTGGAGCTGGGGCAACAGGCAGTCATGGGAGGGACTGGTGTCTGCGAGGCCTCTGTTCCTCCAGAGACCGTCTGCACGGCCAGGGAGAGACCAGGGCTTTTTGGTTTGGTTTTGTTGCACAGAGGCTTTGCTGCTGCCTGAGAGCTTTCTCTGGTTGTGGTGAGCAGGGGCTTCTCATTGCAATGGTTTCTCTTGTTCCAGAGCACAGGCTCAGTAGTTGTGCTGCGTGGGCCTAGCTGCTCCACGGCATGTGGAATCTTCCTGGACCAGGGATCAAACCCATGTCTCCTGCATTGGCAGGTGGATCCACATCCACTGTGCCACAAGGGAAGTCCGAGACCAGGGCTTTAGATCCCTAAAGATCCCCTTCTGCCCTGTGGGAAGGAGCAGAGATAAAGGACAAGGCCAGACTAGGGCTTCAGTGTGAAGATTCTGGTCTCTCAGTGCCATTAGAGGGAAGAGGGAAGGGCATTTCTGGCAGAGGGGAAAGTGTGGGCACAGACACAGTTTATAGGGGCAGGAAGGGAGGGGAAGCTAAGAAGCTTAACCATACATGGTCCAAGATCACGGCCTTAGAGCCATCAGAGGGTTTTAGCAGGAAAATGATAGGATCAAGGCTGTGTCTCAGAAGAAAGTGGACTATTGGGAGCAGGTCCTGTGAGGATGCACCTGGGTCGGTGTCAGAGGGAGGGAAGGGGTGAGGAGTCTCAGGGATCCAGGAGAGAAAGGTTCACACCCACTGACAGGCCAGCGGAGTGAGAGTCATGGCTTCCTTTCCTTGGGCTGCCGCATCTCGGCAGAGTGAGTGATCCGTGAAGACGAGAGGTGCTCGGACAGTCACATGCTATTGACAAGCCAGCAGGGCGACAGAGGGCCACGCGTGGGCCCCGGGTGGTCCTCACCAGCATGTTTCAGGTGAACTCACTCTGAGCTCGAGATCAGGGTCTGGCCTCTGTTCTGTTGTGGGTCGTTTCCTTCCTTTGTTCCCGTGGATGATTTGCTCCACGGGTGAAGTTGGTTAGGCTAGAGTAATGGTTCCCAAAGCGTGTTCACTGATAAAATGGTTCTGTGGCTAAGTAAGTTTAGGAAGTGGTGGGTTAGATAAAGTGAGTGGGGTTTCTTTCTCTTTTTAAAAACATTTATTGGTTTATTTGGCTGCTCTAGGTCTTATTTGTAGCACCCAGAGTCTTTGATCTTCATTGCAGCACGTGGGATCTTTAGTTGCATCCTGGGAACTCTGAGTTGTGGTATATGGGAGCTAGTTTCCAGAGCAGGGATCGAAGCGGGACCCCCTACATTGGAAGCGCGGAGTCTTAGCCAGTGGACCCCCAGGGAAGTCCCCGAATGGGGTTTCTTGACTGCACAGCTCCTCAGAGCTTTTGGTGTGCGTTATGACCTTCCAGAAGCAAGATTTAGTTTGCGGCGTTCCCAGGCTTCTTTGCCCAGGGGAACCTGTTTTTCCATTGAGCATCTTACTGGGACTAGTGCTTCCTGGAATCCACTTTGAGAAAGTCTGGCCGACCGGGAATACTGGGGACCTTTGTTTGAAATGTTGACTCTGTCCGCCATCCTCTGTCTGTCCGTGGGCCTGTCCTCTCTCCTGCCCTCCCCTTGTGTGCTGTGGCAGGGGCGGTCCTCAGACTCGGAATCTTCTCTCCACCTGTTTCTACTTAGGAGGCGGGACATTCATGCCTGTATCTGGATCTTCACCTTGACCTTTTCCTCTCCTCCTAACCTGCCTCTACCTCAGAATCCACCATCTGGGTCTCATCAGTTTTTCTGCTAAGCCCCGAGCTCTCTTACTTTTATGTGCTATGCTTAGTCACTCAGTCGTGTCTGATTCTTGGTGACCCCATGGACGGTAGCCTGCCAGGCTCTGTCCATGAGGATTCTCTAGGCAAGAATACTAGAGCGGGTTGCCATGCCCTCCTCCAGGGGATCTTCCCAACCCAGGGATCGAACCCAGGTCTCACTCATTGCAGGAGGATTCTTTGCCATCTGAGGCACCAGGGAACTTAATTCTCTCATTTCGAGCCATGTTCTTCCAGGACAGAATCTTTGTGGAGTCTTCCCCGACTTTTCCTCCCTTCTTCATCCCCTACTTATTCTAAGCATTCTTCTTTGGTGTTCTTTCTGGCTGTTCCTTCTCTGTTTCCCCAGATCCTCCAGCCCCTCCCCATCGAGTTTGTTTCATTCATGCATCACATCCCTTCCCCAGACATGGGTAACCACTCGCTGCTGCCTTCTGACTTCAGGCCGATTTCCTCAACACTGAGCTTCCTCAACACACACTCACGCTTCCCTTCCAACTAGGTTAGGTTCAGAGAGATGATGTAAGTTGTTTGTCCAAGGCCACACAGCTGGGAGGTGGCAGAGTTAAGTTTCAACGTCAGGATTTCTGAGAAGTGCTTTCTCAACCGTGCTCTCTGATCCTTACAACAGCTTTTCCGGAAGTCTGAGCAAGAATTACTCCATTTCCATTTTTCAGTTGAGCCACGTAAGAGTTTGAGTGGGTCCTGGGGATAGGAGAGTGCTTCAGAGGGTGCCCAGCTGTCTGGGTTTGCCAGGGGCTGAAAGGTTTTCCGAGATGGTTGGTCACACTGGTGCTGGACATGGTACCTAGAACTCGGCCTGAGCCTTTTCCACGGCCACACTGCCTCCCCAGGGGTGGCTTCCTGGGGCAGTCCTGGAGCCTGATGTCTTCTCCTTTCCCCCACCTCTCTAGTCGGCCCCATGCTGATTGAGTTTAACATACCTGTGGACTTGAAGCTTGTGGAGCAGCAGAACCCGAAGGTGAAGCTGGGTGGTCGCTACTCCCCCACGGACTGCATCTCTCCTCACAAGGTGGCCATCATCATTCCATTCCGCAACCGGCAGGAACACCTCAAGTACTGGCTATATTACTTGCACCCAATCCTACAGCGTCAGCAGTTAGACTATGGCATCTATGTTATCAACCAGGTGAGGCCTGGGGGGATGGAGGGAGGGAGGGGAGGCGTGTATGTATATATGTTGTGTGTGTGTGCGCGTGTGCACACACACTTCGTACTCAAATATATGAGTAATGAGGGATGAAGGAATAGAAATAATTTTTTAGACATCTGGCATTTTGAAATTCTACCATTACCACCTTCAGGTGCAAATGAGCTAAATGCTGTATAGTTTCCCCCTGCCCCCACCCGAGAATTTAACTTTGGTATTTCAAGTTTAGCCTGAATACTTAAATTCCCATCTTTAGACTATGACCTCCCAGGTGGAATAACACATCTAACTTATCTGTCTACTAAATTCCATTGAAATTCCTTTGAGGAGACAGAGTGTATACATTTCCATTTCTAAAAGGCCCAGTGTCCGTTTCATTTCAAGATCAACTATGGATCTGCTTGTAGTAAGTTAGTTTGAATAGAAAGATTATTAGCTTCAGATTATTAGCTGACAGCTTCCATCAAAACTGAGGGACTTTGTGAGCATTCCTTGGACCAGAAGAAAAGCTAGAAACAGCAATGTGTCCATCACGCATTTCTAAACACTGCCAGGACAAAGCAGAGAGATGCTAAAGAAATGAAAAAATTTCCTGGTTCTATCTGTCCTGAAGCCTCCATCCTCATTTATGGCAAGTGGGACCCTTCCAGGGAACAATTTGCTAATAATCTCAAGAATTAAATCTCAAGGTGGGAGAACAGGTGGCAGGCAAAACCCCTCAAGGCTGTTGGAGGGCCTTGGCCAAGTGAGGCACAGACCAAGGCCCCAAGAGAGCCAGACAGTTGGGCTTTATCTTGGAAGAATATTTGTACTATGTAAGAGAGAATAGGTATATGCGCTGCAAAATCCAAGCCACTTCAGTCCAACAAGTGTTGGTTTAAAAAAAGCCCTGCCGTCAAGGAACACTTGTCTGATGCCAGTGTACACGTGTTGATCATGGCAGGATTCAGGAGCCCATTATTAAAGCAGTGGCTTTGAGCGCCTGGAAGAGGAAGCCACGGTTACCAGGCCAGCAGGGATTACTAAGCACAAGCCACGCCAGCTGCCTCTCCTTTCCCTCATTGATAATTGTTACACCGGTGGATGAGACACCGTGGCAGATTGTATTCATCCAGGTGTCTGATAGCCTCCCACAAATCTGCCTGAACAGAAGTTAGACAGCTGTGGTCTGGGTGGCATATAAACTATATAGATTAAAATACATACTTGAGTAGAGTGTTAAAGAGAGTTAGTGATGATGCCAAGTGTTTGAATTCAGGTGACTCTGGTCAAGGAAGACTTGGGGGTGGGAGTGGAGAATGCTAATGTATAGAAAGGTTGTATTTTAGGTAAATGTGAGATTGCCCTGTTCAATTATAAAGTCAAATATATATTGGACCGGTAAAATTTAGCCGCTGTCCTAAGTTCCTATGGCAGGATTTATATAGATAGTACCCAAGTTTCAAACAACAGATTTCCACATGTCTTAACACCAGCTATTTCCTCCTGCTTGCCCCAGTCCAGGCTGGCAGAACAATAAATAGGCAAGCCAGCTTGGACCAGCGGTACCACTGTGCTGGCTCACACCAGTCACTGCCCAAGACGGGACTTCTCATGTGTGCTCTCCGAAATGGGGATCTGAGGTCACGTGCATTTGAGAGATGCTGGGGACAGCGTGAGGCAGGTTTTGTTCCTGCAGAGCCTTCAGTGTCCTGGTGTACATGAAAGCCTCCAGAGGGAACTCGGCACGTTTCCTGAGCTCATCTGACTGGAGGAACCTCCTTCCAAGAACCATCTCAAGTGACAACTATTCCGTGAATTGAACGTTGGGGGAAAGCAGGCCTCCTCCCACCTCCTCACTTTCCCTAGGATGCTGAGAAACACCCCCAACTCCTGTCTTCTCCCACATGTATCTCAGCATTGGAAAGATTTTATTTTTCATTTTTCAAACATTTACATCTCTCTTTTTTTTCCCCGTCTAGTCTGATCAGTATAATCATCTCCCCCCCCTCACCCTCCCCAACCACCCCTACCCTCTGCCCTAGTCCATGTCTTTTCATTTCTTCATCTTTTTCTACTCTTCCAAGGGTTAACTTTCTGCCTTGAGGAAATCATTTCCTTTATCTCTCTCTCCCCCAGCTAATCTTATTTCTTCTGCTCCAGCTCCACCCTGATTATTTCTTTGGGAAAATGTGATCTGAGTTCCAGGTAACCAAGTCATAAAGAAACCTGAAGTTGCCCCTACCTTTCCACCAAAGAATATCTTACATGGTATCTATAAGAAACGCATAATAAGGCAATGATAGGAAAACCCAAGCCTTGAAAGAGGTGGGAGGGGAAACATTTGGAACATGCCCTCTCTACAACTTCCCGTGTTCCCTGTGTTACTGTTAGATGCTCCGGTTTAGAGCATCTGGCTTGGGTTTTGTGAACCATTTGTTGAGCAGCTAGGCCTCTCAGCGTCTTCCTGTCTCAGACACCCTGCTGTCATCTTGACACTTCACTCACTGCCCCCGCCCCAACACACACACCCAATTTAAGAAGAGAAAGTGCCTAAAATAGGAAGGGCCCCTGAGACATCTAGCCCTCAGGTTCTCAGGCAGGTTTTTAAGAACAAAACCTCCCCCTGCCACGTTGAAATGCTGCCTATCCCTGCATCCACAGTGGGTCACATGGAGTCACAGCATGTTCTACCTGAAGTGGGGGCTGTGTCCCCACCTCTATCCCTGACTTCCCCTTCATTCTTTGCCGGGATTCACCTGTACCCTTGAGGTACAAAACAGAGAGTTGTGTTCTCACCTGTTTTGCCGATGAGGAAGCTGAGGGACTGGTAGGAAGGCACATAAGCCACAGTAGGACTGCAGCTCCGAGCCCAGCGCCGTGCCCTAGCGCCCTCTCAGCACATTAGAACCAGTTCCCTTCTCAAGGGCACTAGTCCCTCCTCCTTGGAGCTGGGCGTCCAGGACTGGCAGTGCCCTCCAGGCTCAGCCTGCCTGGGTGCCAGCTCTGCCCCTTCCCAGCTCGGTGACCTTGGACTCCAGTCCTTCACACCTCCGTTTCCTCATGCATGGGAGGGGAAGGCTTCAGTCCTTCGCACACACGGGTCGGGGCTGTGACGCATGCACCTGGCACACGGGGAGCCCTCCGTAAACATTAGCTGCTTTGAGTTCCTTCTCCCCCCGCGCCCCACCGCCCCCCTTCTTCCTGCCTGTTTTCTCTGCCCAGGACTATGTTCTCCCTGCCTCCTGTTTCATCCCTGCTCAGTACCAGTATTGAGACCCTCCCTCCCATTCTTGGGTTCTCCGTGGGAGCAGAAGGTCGTGGACTTAGGGACCATGGCCCACCTGCCAGCCTCTTCAGAGTAGGGCTGAGTCTCGGGCTCCCCCCACAGCGGTGAGCTCTCATGGGCTTCCTTGGCTTCTGCCCCACCCATACTCAGCTATTGACCACTTTCTTTTGGTTTAGTCCCCTCCGATCACCATAGTAACTTGCGTCTCACAGTAAGAGGGGTGGAGGGTTGAGTGAACCCGAAGAGGCGGCAGCATTGCCGTCTGTTCTCCGTCCCCTGCCCTGCTCCTGCCTTCGCCCACTGGCACCTGGACATCCTGTTAGGGTTCTGGGAGGTCCGGCCTTTCAGAGCCAAGGGTGCTGCTCTGAGGCTCGGATATCCTACCTGAGGTCCAGCGCAGGTGCAGAGGAGGACACTAAGATATTTTAGCAGATGGGAGGTGGGGTGCACACCTCACTTCCTTGTACTTTCATTGAGAAAGGAAACTATAAAACCACCAAGGGCAAAGGGAAGGCAGATCACCATCTGGCAGCACTAACTCTAATAAGAAGTACAGGATGTTTGTGACATAAGCCACCAGGGGAATTACCAGTCGGATGACACATGCAAGTGGGTTCGTAGTAGCTGTGGCAGCACCTTGCCCCAGGAGCAGGGCCCAGGATCCGTCTCTGGTTCTGTTTGGAGGTCTTCTGGGGCCTCTGCTCCGACTCAGGTTTTCTAGCTCCGGCCACGGCATGCCCCCTCTAAACTCCACCATGTCCTCGCCCACAGGCGAGGGTCTGAAGGGCGCGGAGGCCTGAGCTTGGCACCCTGACTGAGACCTGCCGCCACTTCCCCTCAGGCCTCCTCCACACGCCACCCTGGACTCACCGCCACCCCCGAGACACGCTCCCTCCTGGACCTCTGTGCGTGCTGCGCCAAACACGTCCACCCTGCGTGCCTCCCTTCCCTCCCCGGCTGCTTTCTTTCTGGCCACCGTGGAAGGCCCTCCCCTTAGCTCTGCAAAGGTCTGGCGTGGAGCTGTGCTGCCTTCTCCTTCCGGGCTGCTTCCAAGCCGCGAAGTGCTTTCTAGTGCGGGGAGAGGAGTGTTTGCCTGTATGCGGGCTCTCCCCGCCCCTGCGGCCCCGAGATGCACATCCCTCAGGCCTGACTCCCTTGTCTCCCTGACCACCAGGCTCCGTGCACCGTCCGCTGCACGGTTAGGGTGTGGAGCCAGAACTGCTTCCTGTGGCTCCACCAGCTCTCAGGACAGGACCCCTTGCTCCTGGCTCTCTGGCAAGTGAGAACCTGAGAAGTGAAGGCTCCTTTCCCCTCCAGGCCAGGTCATGACCCCTGGGAACCTGCATGCCTTCTCCCTTCCGCCCCCTCAAAGCTTCCTGCCCAGCAGAGACTCTACTTTAGCCCTGTGGTGGTTGATGGTCATAATACATGATGGTCTTTTGGACTGAGCCTCTTTCACAGTCTCAAAGTTTGAGTTTTGGCCCTGACAGCCCCCAGTGAGGCAGTGGGTACCCCCCTGCACACCGTTCCTACTGAGGGAAGACTCCCAGAGGGAGCAGCTTGCTAGGGGTCTCACGATGCCCGGGCAGCAGAGCCAGGACAGAAATGACCTGCGGCCCCTGGAATGCCTCACCTTGCCACGTGTCTGTTCCTCACTGAGGAGCAGCTCCGTTTCCATTTGGCAGTCTCCCCCGTGAGTCCCACTGGGTCC